GGAGGCGCACGAGGGCCTGGCGGCGGAGGAGGAGCGCCGGTGCCGGCGCGAGGGCCCGGCGGAGCGCGGCGGCGGCGGCGGCCATCGGGGAAGGGTTTGGGGGGTGGGGGAGGGGACGCGAGATCGAGCAGGGCAATGGGTTTAGCTTGGCGAGGCCACTTGTATAAGAGGAGTGAGCAGAGGAATGATCTCGTCCGTTCACCTTGTGATCCAACGGCTGTCCCGATTTCGACATTTCTCTCCCAATCCAAAAGGTCAATCTGCAAAGCTTGAAAAAAAGATGCCAACTGAAAGAAGCCGAAGCTTTGCGATTCGATTACATAAACCCTAAGTATAAAATCGGATGTCTAACCCCCTATAGTCTCGACAAACACCATCAACAAACCTATTTACACGGCTTATTGTAGGAAGGCGAACTGTCAATCAACCGATTCCGACATGTCTCTTCCATTCGAAATGTCAATCAATCTGCAAAGCTTGCAAAAAAAGGATGCGAACTGAAAGAAGGCGAGGTTTCGTGGTTCGATTACATAAACCCGAACTATAAAACCGGATGTTTAGCCCCCTATATAGTCTCGACAAACACCGTTAACAAACCCATTGACACGGTTTATTATAGGAAGGTGAACTGTGGCGTGCAAGGACTTAGATTTGCCGCTCAGCGACGACCTCCCGCACGGCCTAGCCAGCCTCCACCACCTCGTTGGGAATCCAATGTGTAGGGGCTACAACGAGTGTGTCGGTGCGAGCGTGATGGTATGTGGCGGATGGGTGTCCACGATGGCACAGGGTGAATGCAGAGTTCATGGCGGGCCAGGCCAACTTGAGTAGGGGACACATGGATCTGCGCTAGTAGAGATTAGAGCGAGGGATGGTTCGTGCCATCTGGTTCACGGGCCTAGGTGACATTGACGCGTACAATGTTGGCTATTCAGCAAAACAATTACCGACCTCTTTAATTCGCAGGATTTCCAAAACACGGGAACGGAAAAAATGTAGAATATAGTGAAATGTTACCTTGCATACTACAAGATTATAAGGATGTTTGATCGATTGTGCACAGGAAAAACTTAGATTCTTTCAAAGATGGTCTGGATGACAATCTCTTATGGAATATAGTGCAACTAAATTCTAAAGAAAAAAAAATTATGGTTTGCAATCCTACGAATCAAACCACCCCGAGAACAGGAATCCTCCAAAATTCTTTTTAGAATCCCCTTTATCAGTGAAGCCCTAATACTTAGACCAGAACTAATGGTGATTTGTTCAACTTGGTAACTTCGAGGGGTCAAACCCCGAAAGTGCTCTTTTAATCCCGAGCTCACATGCTCCCTCATGAACAGTAAAATTGAAAAATAGTAAAAATGAAATCAAAAAATTCCGATTTTTGTGTGATAAATATTAATGAATGCTTTCACTGCGTGCAAAAATTTGTGATAAAATCGATGCTCCAAAATGCTTCGAACAACAGTCTTTTTGAAGCATCAATTTTGTTTTTTTTCACATTTCCACAAATATCATTTCATCATAACTTTTTGCGTGCTATGAAAACATTCCTCACTTCACCGACGAGCCAGTGGATTCGCCTCCCCTCTGTCTGCCGCTCCGACAGCGGATGACAGGGAGGGGAATCCTGGTGCCTTCACTTCGGTTAGTAGTTTAGGTTAGGTTTTTTTGTTCTCGTAGGTGCAGCACTCAGGTGGATGGCGACGCTTCTTCTTTGAGTGTCATCCGGGCTCCGATCCTTCTTGAATTTGTCCGTCTGGTTGTAGTCGTTGGAGTTTCGGTGTAGATTCCTGCTGCCACCTTGAATAGTGAGCTTAGGGCTTCTCGATCATGTGGCGAGATTTGCTGTCAGGTGCTTCAGATTTATGCAAGTGTTCAACAGGGACGACTACCTCGGGCGCTGGTCCTTACGAGCATGTGCACGAAGACTTTTCGGCTGCCATCGACAAGGTCAAGCCGGCTTCAGTAGAGGAGTGGCGACAACCGCGCGTCACGGCTCATTGTGCCGGTAGTAATGGTTGTTTGGTGGTCTAAATTTTTTGATGTATTTTTTATTATTTTTAATTAAGTTGCTTCGTACTTCCGGTGAACGTTTATTTATAATAATAGATTTAATCCTTTCGTGACACACACACCTGCAGTTTTTGGCTGTGAAACATTGAGTCACAACCTTAACAAGTCCTTCTCAGATGAGTTCTTCTAATAAACTAGATGACCCGTTGCGCCAATGGCGCAAAGGCCGAGTGTAAGCCAATCGGTGTAAGAGTGTGCGTTAATATATTGTTGTTCGAAATGAATAGCTCATATATTATATGTAGTAAGTACATTAGATTGGAAATGATGCACTAAGTCATTTAGGATGGCCAATGTCTTGCAGAAAGATAAATAACCTTTTTAGTTATCTCACAAATATGAAATAACGATGCTCTTTGAATAAATGAATACTGGTTTCTGTAAGATGATCCGTTGCGCCCATGGCGCAAATACCGAGTGCAAGCCAAGCATTGAAAGACTGTGCATTAAAATATATAAACACAAAATCAAACATATGAAAATAAGTACGGATAGATAGATAGTGGTTGTTTCAAAAGCATATCACACAACAGTCTAAGTAGCAAATAAAGTTAAATGCACAAGATGGTCTTGGGGATTACATAAGATCCAAAAGGATGATAAACATAGAAGTTTTGGTAGGCATATATACTAATGCTAAGTTATATAACAAGGGGCTCTTACAACTTGCTTATATTGAGTAGGCGACCAGACGCAGTCCTTGAAAGTGCATTGACAACCCGTTGTGCCCATGGCGCAAAAATCAACAGTGAGCCAAATATTCAAACCATGTATATGTGACTGATTTAAAATTACAATTTAGCTACTTTTCAGTCAGCTAAAATTTTCACTTTTGGGTCAGTCGAATTTGTGGCCATTGGATTTTTCTGTAAGATTAGTGCTGCGTTTTTTTCCTGACCTGTGTTGTCTGTTGGGTGGGCTTCTTTCTTTTTTTGACTGACCTCTTAATTGGGTCAGTCGATTTCTTTCTGGGCCGAAGCTCATTAACTGTGCAATCCAGCCCTCATCTCTCTCCCTCGATTTTTAATACTTTTTTGTTTTTATTGCTTTTGCTTTTGTTTTCTTACTTTCTTTGTTAGTTGGTTTTATTTCTATTTTGTGGATTTATTTTGATTTATTTCTGTTTTCTGTTTCTATGGGTTTTTCTTTTCCACATTTTCTTTCCTTTATTGGTTATTTTTATTTTTTGTGGGTTTTTGGCTAAGTGTAATTGTATACAAAAAATACTATATAATATGTGCCAAATTTTCATGATTATATGTACACTAAAAATGTGCAACTTCTGTGCAAGTAGTTTGCAAAATATTTCATTATTTATTTTATTATTTCCAGTTCATTTCTTCTTTAATGGGAAACCATGACACTAATTCATTGTTTCTTAGAAAACTTCACTATTTTAACTTTCTTTAAGTTTTTATTTCATTTTCTTTATTTTCAAGGGTAATACCAATACCTCTAATTCGTTCCTACTTAGGATATTTGTGAAATATCACTGTTTGTGCTTATTTTTGCATATTATAAAAAAAACCGCAATTTCTATTCAAACGGTGTGCAAATGTTATCATTTTTTTCTACTTTTCTTTCTTCTTAAACGGTAATACCGATACCAGTAATTCGTTATTTTGATCTGGAGAAGTAGAGACACCATGGATCAAATAACAATGTCACTAATTCATTCTTTCTTTAGATAATTCTGTTTTTGCGAAAAATTTCACTATTATGTGTTTAATCTTGCATATTATAACAAAGCACAATTATGTGCAAATTGTGTGCAAATTTTGTCATTATTTTGTTTTAGTTGTTTATATCATTTTGTTTCTATTTAAGGGTATTTTTGCTTCACTTTTTTATTTCTGTTTTCTGTTTTTATGGTTTTTTATTTTTCCCATACCTTTCCTTTATTGCTTATTATTGTTTTTTGTGGGTTTTCGGCTGAGTGTAATTTTATACAAACAAATACTATACAATATGTGCCAAAATTTAGTGATTATATGATTGTTTTTGCATAATACGATAAAGTGCAATTTCGGTGCGAAGTTATGCGTAAGTTTTTGTTGTTGTGTTTCTTCTTAAAGGAAATACATTGTTTCAGTTACACTATGGAAATTATAGTAG